AGTAATAGGGTGCTTGAGCTGTGCAACTGTTGTGTTATGCAGAGGGCTTGTTAAAATAGCATTTAACCAACTGAAGAAAGGCACTCCAAAATCATTTTCCAGTGTGGGATAGTGCCTGAATTCAAATGACCCACTGAACTACATTTAGCCAAACATATATGACCCTAACGTTTTATCTGGATCCAACCAGGTGCTTAGTTTGTTTCAATGTAGGGTGTGAGTCAAGCAGTTACGTTTACCACTTAATAGGGAGCAGCTGCCTTTCACGTCAAAAGCTAGCTTGAAGAGCCCTGAGAGTCACATGATAGCTGAAAGCCAATAAAAGAGAGGGCTTGGTGAGGCTTTGGGTGGGAAGAGTTTTAGTTGTCTTTGGTGAGGGAGGTGGCAGGATGTGTGGGTTTCCTCGGGCAAGATTGAAAGTGGGATTAATCAAGAGTGTTAGGTGTTTGGAGGCTTAGAATGTGTGTTGAAACATTTTTTTTAAACCTTTAACAAACTTTATTTTTGTTTGGAGCCTGGAGTTGACCAGTGGCTTTTTCTCATTTGCCTAAGCTTGGCTGAAATTTGCAAAAAAAAAATCTATATTTAGCCAAACACAGTTTGGGGTGAGAATTTCCTTTTCAATTCTTTCCTAGTTTGTGGAAGGGAGAAACTGGTTTATAGTAAAGGGATAGTGATGGCAACATACCTGATTTTACCATCATTGTTCATCCATAGCTGTGGGTTATTTCAGAACTGAAGTATCTCAGGATTGATCCTGAAGGGTGCCTTTTCCCTTCTTACAACCATAATGAATTCTAATAAGCATCAGTGTCATCTGTGCTATTTATTTTGCTCATTACTATACAAAAGCAGCCATTAAGCCATGATGTTTGCTGCTGAAGTCCAAAATACTTTGGGGAAGTTCTGCTTTTTGCTGCAGGCAAATCTCTCCTGTGGTTTGCTCCTTTGTCATAGGAACAGACTGGCAGCCATGCTTCCTGCCACCCAATTTATTCCTCAATAGCTGGGTTCTGTTTGATATTCCAGGGAACATCCAAAGGAAGTTGATGGGTTGGGATTATGTCATATTTAAGAAGCAATCTACAGATTGTAGATTGTGGTATACCATCTATCATATGTGGAGAAGCTGACTGGGCTTCAATACTGTTATTGGGATAATATCTTTCACTGCATCTGAGGGCATCTCAGGAGGAATACTAGCATGTGGGCAAGACTTGTTTTAATATGTCCAATACAATGGCTGGTCCTATGCTTTATGAATCCATTCATAAACATACAACCATGAGTCTATTTGTGTACAATTATGTGGCATTTGTTTCTACTACTGTTTGAAATAGTCTAGCTCCACTTTGGACACAAACAATTAGTTCCTCTTCACATAATATTCCTGGCAATATTCATTTTTGATCTGATAATCTGGGGCCTACCCAAGAGTAAAAGTTGATAAAAAGAAAAATGCACATGAAAGGCATTTTGTGTAATTTGTTCACAGATGTAACCTCTAATTGTGATTTGCTTATTACCAGGAAAGCAATGTTCAAAGGTAGATATGCTCCACGTATTTGGATAACTAACTATGATTAACTGAATATGGAGATTTCTTTCTGGTGGAAACTATATTATAAAGTACATAGTTAAAGCACTAAAACAACAGGCAAACATTAAAACTAGGGTTACCATATTTGAGCTGCAAAAATGCAGGCAACCAATAGATGGCAGAACCCACCCACCCCAAACTCCCCATAGGTGCTTTCCCAAAGGCAATTGTGGAGTTTCTTTGTTTCTTTCTTTGAAAACATTTCACTTCTCATCCAAGAAGCTTCCTCAGTTCTGATTGGTGGGGAATGGGATGACTGAAAATTTCCATAGACATAGCAGCCTCAACATGGTAGGGTGAAATCTCTTTTACATGTAAAGGAAGTCCTACTGAAATCAGAGGAATTTATTTTTGAGTAAATGTGGATAGGCCATCATTTTATTCATTCTGTTTTGATTTTTCTTAAGAAAATAGGAAAAACAATTTTAAAGAAAATATTGGAAGCAACTGCAAAAAGCAATTTTGAGTTTTGCTTCTGTCATGCCAACTGAAACACTCATGATTGACAGGGAAATTATTTAATTGATAGGCATTTCAGCTAGGCAGAAATAATTGTGTTTAACAGTCGACCATGAATTTTTATTTCAAAGTAGAATTCTTTTGATACAAGTGATGTGAATTAGTTGCCTTTGCTGTAATAGGAATAGCTTATAATGAAGAATAAATCTAGTAATTTGTGTGTGTTCCCTTCTTGAAATGATTTGCTAATAAACCCTGCATCTATTACATTTCATAACTTATATGACAATAATGGTGAATTAAAGACTTTACTGTCTTTAGTGAAGTAAATGACATTATACTGGGTAATTCACTGAAATTCTGTACTTAAGAAGACTCTGTCATTCATTCCAAAAGCATAGGCATTCCTTTATGTAGGGAATATCAGCAAATATCAAAATGGTAAAAAATTTAGAACTTTGGGGGATATAGGTTTACCTTTAGAAAATTACTATAAAACTAAAGTTGGAGTTGTAGAGACAACTTCACACAAGGCTTTATGCCAATCTGCAACCAGTTATGGACCTGGTCAATTGCAGTTTTGGCTATTTTGCATAGGTAGTCCTTGATCTGCAAATATTCATTTAGTGACTATTTGAAGTTACAACAGCACTTTAAAAATGGCTTGCACTTAAGAGTCCTTGCACTTACAACCATCATAGCATCTCCATGCTCACATCAACCAGCATGTATTCACGAGGTCATGTGATTGCCATTTTTGACCTTCCCAATCTGTTTCTGACCAGCAAAGTCAACGGGGATCTTTTATTTTAATAATCATGTGGTCCACATAACTGCGGTGATTTGCTTACCAACCATGGCAAAAAGGGTTATAAAATAGAGTGTGATTTACTCAACAGCTTAGCAGTGGAAATTCTGGTCCCAATTGTCATAAGTTGAAGATTCTATGTTTCTGCTTCTCTCCTTCCTTGCTTGGTTGCAACTCATTTGAAATGGGAGTAAACGTGATATTTTTGCAATGCTGCATTCTACTGAGCTTGAGCAGGGTAATTGCATTGTAGTGAATTCTGCCTTTTGATCTCAAGACAAATGTTTTTTTTTTGTAAACAACTATTGTTTAGAATGTATGTCTACTGTTTCTCCACCTGTGGAACTATATGAATGGACAGCTGGTAGCCTACCAACCTAGCTGGTAGCAAGGTTTTGTCATTGCTTGCAAAAAGCTGATAAATGTAGAATAAATAGTTGGCCCAGAATACAGTTGGAAAGCTTCTCATCATAACCACAACATAGATTTTCTTCCCACCCCACCCCCCCATGACCAAAAATGTGGAGGAGGATTAGTGATTTATTTACCTTTTGTATAGTCAAAGTGAGGAAACATTTTGTTCCTCTGGAGCTGGTGGCACAAATTTGAGTATCTGAGAGACCTCTCTACTACTATCTCTACTACTGGCCTGTGCTCTTTACCTATCCTTGATTTGGTGTGAAGTTTTACATTGCCATTTCCTAGTTTTCCTGCATTGCCTGTTTTGAGTGACTATAGTTACCTGCTCTCCTCCAGGATAATGGTTGAAAAAAGCTAACCAATATTATGAATCTTGGAAGCCAAAGGTCCACAATCCATAGTGATTGCATCTAAGTGGCAATACATGCAATCCATCTTAACACACTATATACCTTTATATACTTGCATACCAAACTTTGACACAGGTAAATAAGTTACAGCTTTTGCAGCATTTCATCACTTTCCCCTTCCATGCCCCACCAAGGATGCAAATGCTTGGGGCTACTTCAGAAATGTCAGATTAACACAGGAATGACTTATATGTCTTATCATGGTTAGATTTGCAAGTGAAGCAGAATACAGAATGGAGATCTTCTAGTCCAAGCAGGAGACAGTATACCATTCCAGACAAATGGCTGCCCAGTCTCTTCTTAAAAGCATCCACAACTTCTGAAGGCAAGCTGTTCTACTGGTTAATTGTTCTCAATGTTAGAAAATTTCTCCTTAGTTTGTCTCATGCATGAAGCCTGAAGATCCCTGGGACACATCAAAAAAAAGTTGTTACTAGGGCAGTTTTGTGCCATAGCTAGACCACGTGAGGAAAGGCTCTGAATCAAAAACCTTACATATTCAAGGACAGTAATAAATTGCCTTTCATTTTTTAAAAAAAAGAAAAATGGTGTTAGTGGCCAAGATTTATCAAGCTCGTGAATATTCTTCCCTTTCTACAAAAGAGGGACATCATTCACTATTGCTTTATCTCTTACCACTGGTCAAGTAGAAGTAAAAGCTGCCCTTAAATATTCCCTAGCATTTCTATGTTGAAATATCCATAGGCAAAGTTCATATTGTTCTCGGGGATATTATTGGTTCCTCCCATCCTTTTTCACCACTCTGGAAGATTTAGTTTTTGAGAACAAGAACAGTTGCTCTCCTCAAATCCCCCTTTCTCCAGTTGAAGCCTTGAGACATGCAAATTTCTCTTTCTCGGGTTTGTTTTGCTTGTCTAATCTTTCCAATCTCCTTTACCACTAAGCATTTGTAAATAACTTAGTAAAGTGCTTTTTGTGGTTTCTATACAGTGTTCACTGGATCTTTAGGTACTCATTCACTTATTTTGTCAAGATGCCTTGGATTAAGTAAAAAGGAGAGTGAACTAAATTACTTGGAAATTGAAAAGCAGTTGTGAACCCATCAGAAAAGCTGTCAAGAGATTGCACCATTATTCTAAAGGACAGACATAGACTCTTGAAAGAACCAAATGATTGTCAAAGCAATAAAGTAAATTTTGAACTGCAAGTGGTCCATATGCTGCATCATTTCTGGTGGTTTAATCTCCCTCTCCTTATTTCTTTCCTCTCCACTAAGTTACAGGAAATACTTCAGAATATTACAGCAGTTATGAGATTTGTTTCATAGTTGAAGAAACTGAGCCTACAACTTGCTCAGGGCCATTTCCTGGGCAGGGTACTCTTTGTTAGGCCCCTGTCCTGCACTGATGGACTTTCTAGGCAATGCAATCATATTAGAAGCATTCTGGCAAGTGGCAATACCAGGTAAATCTTGCCACATAGTTCCCTTTAAAGCACCAAATGGAGAAAGCAAAATTAAAGCAAGCCCAAGATGGACACTAATATTAAGTGTTCCAAATGTTTTAGGAGTAATATAATGAACTAAACACAAATGATGCTGGATACCAATAGCACATCATACGATAGATGATGCTATTTAAGCACAAGAGTCCTGGTGGCACAGTGGTTAGAATGCAGCATTTGTAGGCAACCTGGAGTTCAATCCTGACTGAGCTCAAGGTTGACTCAGCCTTCCATCCTTCTGAGGTCAGTAATGAAGACCCAGATTGTTGGGGGCAAAATGCCGACTCTGTAAACCACTGAGAATGCTGTAAAGCACTATGGAATGGTATATACATCTAAGTGAATTGCTATTAAGAGATTAATTAAATTTTCCCTTCTATTGTTTTATAAAAACATTTTGCTGGGTAGGTATTATAGGATGGATTTTTGAAATGATTTGAAAGTTATGTATAATCCCCCACTGAAGGACTGAACTTGACTTAAATAAAAATGAAAGAAACTCATAAAGAAAATGAAGGATTTAGGTTAACTGTGACAGCTTGAAGCTGCAAAGTGAGACACAAGGAGTCTGGGAAGAGAAAAGACTGTTGTGTAAACAGAGTGCCAACTACAACCAAGCGAAACAGACCACTAAGAAAATATGTGAAAGGATGTGAGAAGAAAACTAAGGATTTAAACTCTGGGCTTCACCCATGTGGTATATATGGCTGGACTCTTAGATATTCCATAGAAGCTGATCATCATTACTAAGCTGTTTTTGTATCTGCAATGAAAAAAATGTGATGACCATGGATCAGGTCACCCAAGGCCTGCTCTGGCAGCATACCCATGAGGCAGGTCAGATGGAGTAAGTTATAACTCATTTGATAACCTCAACCTAAGGTGTACTAAGGCCTCAGGTACACATTTTCTGAGCATCATCCCAGAGGAGCTCTCCCCATTGCTCCTGAAGACCACATCATGCTTTCTGCTTGAATCCTCTCCTACACATGACCAAAAGCTGGAATATGGAGCTTATGGGCCCATTTTCAGTCTTTGCACAGATCAATCCCATTGTTTTTTATCTGAAGCTCCTCTTTTAACCAATATAATTTATGGCGTGATTTATGACTACAAGCTCGCTACTGGAAACACTTGTAGTTAGGGGCAGTCATTATTTAGTCATTATCTTTGTCAGCCCATGAACCTTTCTTGTTAGTTCACTAGACCTGATAAATCTTCTGCTGCTACTGCTGGACAAGACTGCAAAAACAAGATGATTTTTGCTATTTGTCAGGTTATAATTCAATTCTGTACATTAAAAGTTGTGTAGGTCTAACCTGTTGCTTAAATATGTGGCAGTTTTGGTGTGAACATCTGTATTATTTATAACTTACTTGAAGAAATGCCTTTAATTTTTTTTCTGTTTATCTATTTTATTTAATATATGCCATCCATCTCTTTGGTAAGGTGACTTTCTTTTAATCATGTTTTTATCTCATATGGTTAGAGACCCAATCTAATCTTGGGGTCAGACCTCAAACCCATTTTCTTTCTTTTTTGTTTATCCCCTTCCACATTCTTCAAACTAAAGTGACTTCCTAGCTGTGTAAGAACTTCTTTTTCATTTTAACTTGCTTGTTGATCAATGTCTTATGGTTTCCCGAAAAAAAATTCTTATTTTAAACTTCATTTGGAAGGAGGAATAATAAAGAAGAAACTTTGGGTGAAATATTTCATACAAAAGGACAAGGGGGAGGAGCATTAAACCAACTTTTCAACAGTTAAAAGTACTAGTCTGAACCCAAGATCATTTTCACACTTAATTAACTTTGTAGTGGTGATGCTTGAGGAAAGAACCAGGTTTTCACAGCCATCTGTAAAAGGAAGGAAGAGAATTATTCACAAACTCGGAAGATGATATGACAAGAATACTTGCCCAAAGCGAACAGAAGTCAGCATAAACTGGATGAAGAGGGAAAGTTTCCTATCACTGGAACAATTACAGAGTGGCAAAATGGCAAGGAAACATTATTATAGATAAATATAGATAAAGAGGAAGGATTCAGTTTGCTTGCCTCCCTGAAAATATACAGTATACTCTGTTTCATACTTTCATTAAACAATGAAAACTTTACTTTGATGAGATTTTAAAATTAAATATTTCAATGTGGCTATTTTTCTCAAAAAAAAATATTCAATTCTTATGTTAGATTCTCTAAGTACTGCTATCATACACTTTAGATGTGCAATAAAAGCAGAAGAATCATAAGTAAGACAGTGAAATCTCTCATACAAGCAATTGGGGTAACAAAAATTACATGGAAATATGGGATATATTAATGAAAATGTCAACAACAATACATTGATTTAATTGTTGTATATTGCGTTGGTCTATTGTGACATTGTCACTACCGGTTCAGGCACTTGAATCAACAACCCCATCGCCATAGGGAGCACATTTGTTTCCAGCATTTTGCGGTCATTATGAACTCATTGTTTGAATTCCATTGATTCTTCTGAATCCCAGTCCTTGAATATTTCAGTGCCTCTTCACTAAGGCAGTTTTGGCAACATACTATCTTTGGTGTGTAGATTGCAAACTGCCTTTCTCAAGAGCAGCTTGTGGTCCTCTTTAACGTTTGCACCTTATAGCCTAAGCTTAACATTTTTTAATTTTTAATTTAAAACAAATACAACATCCTTCTTTACATGCTATATAGAAAGTGTATCAGTTGGTTACAAAGACTTTAGTGCATCTCTTCCACAGTCAACAAACATAATTCATATTAACTTAAGTATTTTAACTCAAATATTTATACATTTCACCATCATATCTCCTTTTTCATTTGACTATAATTGTTTAAGTGTCCATCATAAAATATACCAAAATTTAATACATAACCACATAGTGGCCTTTCAATGACTATTTCTAAAATCCTCCATTAACACTAAACCCTTATGCCCTATTCTAGCTAAACATCCATAATATTTAATAACAAACTTTTCTAATCCTACTTTCCAAATCACTGTTTAAAGTTTACATTCAGTTTCTTTATGTTATACCCATATCTATATATACATTGTTACTCTTATCCCTCCTTTATTTGACTATATCTGTATAACATTTCCCCCCAATAATCAAAACTTTAATTGTACCTAACTTAGTTCTTTTTTAAAAAATATTATTATTATACAATTGTATCACAGCGGCCAGTTGTTTCGCCGGATTTGGCATTGGTTACTAGTTGGGCCCCACCCAGGGGTTGTTATTGTTGTTGTTGTTGTTGTTGTTGTTATTATTATTATTATTATTATTATCCTTTATGTATAATCAAAAGGGATTGCTAATCTTCCTTACATGGGTGCCATTCAATATTCATATCCAATTATACTCATCATAACACTACACATTGTATACATTAGTAACATTATCAGTTATTTATTTAAGCTATATCTATTGTCAATAAATTTCACTAAGTTCAACTAGTTTTAAATTATATTCTTCCATCTATCAACCTGTACCTTTCCAATAACAAAACAATCTC